AAGTGGGAGCTATACCTTAAAAAAGCAGTGCGGTAGACATAGTCACTTATTCAATATCCATCCCTCCCTCCTCCTATACTATCAGAATCATAATTTTTGTTCAATTCTTCAAGAGTGTCCAGGCAAAAAACTTACCGTCTCAAATGCCCTTTGCCATTTGCTAGGAGCGGCTACATGACCAGACTGGCCAATGAGAGGTAAGCAGAAGTCTCTAGGTAAGTATTTCTAAAGAGTTTTTAAAAGGTGGCCCATTTTCTTTTCTCCCTCTTCTGACTTGGAGTTGTGGACTTGATACATGGAGCTGCAGCAACCATCTTGAAATCATGAGGCTGAAAGCCATGGCATAAGGATAAAAGCTGTGTGCGAAGGATGGCAGAGCAAAAGGAAGCCTGGGTCCCCTGTGACTTCGTAGAGCAATTTCACCAGTCATGGATCGCCTTACCTGGGACTTCTTAGTATGTGAGAAACATAGACCTCTGTTTGGTTAAGCCACTGTGGCTGGACTTCTTTTATAGCTGAATGCAATTCTCACACACAGGACCTTAGAAAGAATGTTCCTGAGTTGGAAATGGGAAGAGAAGGTCAGGGAAAAAAGAGAGAAGGGGGAAAGGGGACTTTTTTCCCCTTTGTGTGCATGTGGGTGCGTGTGTGTGTGTGTGTGTGTGTGTGTGTGTGTGACTATCTCACTCTGCAATCTTCAGCGATTTCCTATTCCCAAGGGATTAAGTTGATATTCCTCAGACCAACATTCAGGACTATAAAATTTGGCCCCAAATTAATTTTCTAGGTCTGTTGCTCTTTATGCCATTCACAGGAGCAAGGATGAGCCTTCTCTTTCACCTGAATACAGCTTATAAACTCCCAGCTTGATCTTAGTTCATATGAGTTGCCCCTCTTCCTTTTCACATGTCTCAGGCTTACCTGCTCTTGTGGGATGCTCTTTTTAGAGGACTTTCTATCACCCTGGGCTCCAGGGACCTCTCCTTCTTTGATTTCCTTCATCACTGAAGCCTGTACATTTTCATGTGTCTTGGCCTCATCTCCCCAGCAAGTTATTGTGTCCTTCAGGGCAGGATCTTAGGAGCATGGTAGTGTAGAAAGATCATGTGCTTGGGGGTCAGACTTGAGATCTAAGATGATCTTGAGTATGTCACTTAACCCCTCTGAACCTCAGTATCCTCGTCTGTGGAAAGGGGATAAAATGCACTTCTACCTCCCAGGGTTTTGGTGAAGACAGCCTCCATAGAGCACTTAATGAAGTGCTTGGCACACTGAAGGTGCTCAAGAAGTGTATGTTGACATGTTGCCTGCTTGGTAAGTCCTCAGTTGTGCCTTTTTCCTATCCTTTGCATCTCTTTCCACCTTTGTCTATTTCCATTCTGATTTTCTACTTTGCACTTGAACTGGGAGACCTATACCAAGGTTGGGGAGTGACCCTGGACTGTTTTCATTTCCAGAGAAGGCAGATATTAGGCTCCTGGCTTCAGCCCTCAATCACAGTAGGAGGTGCAGAGGAAGATTTCATGCCCATTGCTAAGAAGGTGAGATGAGGTGTGAACTGCTCAAGGGGGTTAACTAAGTCTTTGAAGATTGATTGGTAAGGAAAATGGGTGTATTAAAGCCCAGTTTTATCTGGCAACAGGCGATGGACTGAATGACCTTATGGCACTTGGTAATTTTTTTTTATGCCAACCCCCAATTCTGTCTGTGATAACAAGGTAAACATCTGGGCCTTCACTTTTTTGATATCCTCATCTCGGCCTCATTTTGCCTCAATCCCATCCCAGAAACCCAGATCAAATAAGACGGTTGTGAGAAGTGACCTATGGCAAAAAATCCCGTCATTGAAAGTTTAATGACAAATGACGGCTTTATTACTTCCGAGTAAATAACTGTCACATGGAGTTATAAATGGGGGTGGATGCGTTGAATTGGGTAGAAAACAAGAAGTCACCCTAGACTTAGATGGCAGGGTAATGTGTACAGACATTGACTCCTGGGGCGGTCTTCCTTTTTCCATGTGTTTTCACTCAGAGAACCCAGCGAAACAGAAACTTACTCTTTTGTCCCTCTTGGGAAGAGGAGGGGTTTATAAAGACTTGATTGATTGCACAGCTGTGTCCAGCTGCATTCAGTTTGCTGCATTTTCCCCCTAAAGTCTTTCATGCCTCAGCCAGACTGCCAGCCATCATTCCTGGGTGGGGCTGGTGGGGTCAGGGCAGCTGGCTATCAGCTAGGGGTGTGTGTGTGATAGCGAAGGGGCCGTGGAGCTGGCAATGAGGGGGTTGAACTCCTTTTCTTTGTTCCATACACACCAGGTGGTTTCATTTTCTGCTTCCTGTGAGCCCTCTAGTGTTCAAAGTCTGCTCCTTATGGTTGTGGTTGACAATTTATTTGGGGGTGGGGAGGTGTACACCTCTATTGGGGACAACTATTTCTCTCTCTCTCTCTCTCTCTCTCTCTCTCTCTCTCTCTCTCTCTCTCTCTCGGATTTGAGGGTTGGGCTGTGTGACCTGTTTTTTTCTCTTCCCACTTTCCCTCTAGAGCAGCATTGTTGAGTTGCCGTGGGCCCAATCAGGTATTCAATTCGTCCTTCCCAATGCCGCTAGGGGGACACCTAGATTTTGCCACCTTGCCTCATCCGGCATGCACTTCTCAGTTACAGGGACACCCTCTGCTGTCAGATTCTGATAGGCCTGTCCTGGGCTCCCTGGAGCTGCAGCGCATCTCTTTCTGAACTGTATGTGTCCCAAGGGCAGGCTCCAAGCCTGCAGGACGGACTATATACAGTCCTGCTCAGGCCCAGTGCCAAATGGACCTTTGCCAGTGGTCTGGTGACGCTATCCTGACATGTTTGCAGAGCTGGAAAGAGCTCAGGGAGTCTTGCCTCCTATATTAGTTTCTTGTATTAGTGTTGCTGCTATGACACATGACTACAAACCTAGTAGCCTAAAGCAACTCCAAATTATCCTCTTAGATTTCTGGAGGTTGGAAGTAAAATGGGTTGGCTGGGCTGCTTTCTTTCTGGAGGGTCCAGGGGAGAACCCACTTTCTTGCCTTTTCTAGAGGCTGGCTGTATTCCTTGGCTCATGTACCCACATCACTTCAACCCCTGTTTCCATGGTCACCTCTCCTAATCTGATCCTCAGTCTCCTGCCTCCCTCTTGTGATTACATGGTGATTACATTGGGCTCACCTGGATAACCTAGCATCATCTTCCCATTTCGAGGTCCTTAATTTAATCGCACCTCAAAGTCTCCTTTGCCACAGAAGGTGACGTTTTCACAAATCCTGATGACTGGGGCATGGACATCTTCGGAGAACCTACCCCAAGCCTACCACAGCTTCCCACACCTCAGAATCTATAACAGTGAGTAGATGTGATGGATCGCAAGCCAGTCTGGTCTGGTCATGGTGTGATTTCTGTAATTCTGGAAAGTCTTTCTAAACCCCTTCTCCCTACAGATCCCTCGCTACTGTTAGCTTCTGAAATCCTCCTCTTAGTGGATAAAGCATCTTCACCCACAGTGGGAACTCAGGCTCAGTACAAGGCTGAGACGTATTACTTCACGCTAAGGTGTAAATGGCTGGTAGCAGAGCCCTTCCTAACAACAAGTTCTGACTGGAGGCAGGCACCATGTGAGGGCAGGAGGGGCCAGGGAGGGGGGAGACAGGGGGGTGTGGGCTAACTTGGGTCAGGTCTCAATAACACTTGAGCATGGAGGTTCCCAGTGATGGACAGAGTGAAGGCACTTGGAAATATGACCATAAAGTTTTAATCAAACAGAGCAAAATGGTCGCGATGCAGAACAGGTAGTGCTTGGAGAAGAGAAAGAAGATCATCTCCTTGGTGACATAGATTATGTGTATAAAGATGAAGCAGTACAGGAACATGGCAAACTGGTTCTGGGGGAGCAGGAGGTCCTGGAGGCCTCCCGAGAACTGTGGGGGAAAGAAAAGAGCAGAGCTGGCAAAACGGGGGCATGGGCGCCAGGCAGAGCTGGGCTTCAACCCTGCTCCTGTCCTTTCCTGAATGGGACCGCTTGCAGGCCTTCTTCCTCGCCTAGGGGACGGGGAATAGTGCCCACCGCACAAGATTATGAGAAGGGAGCGTGAGACAAGAAATGGGACATTCCTAGCCAGCTCACTGGCATACAGAGGTTACTCATGAGCTTTCTTTTTTTTTTTAGCTGAGCCATCCTGCCACCTGTTAGCAGCTCAGTGGCAGCTCAGCTCGGGCCGGGCATCAAACCTCTGTTGCTCAGAACTCAAACTATTGAGCGAGCTCTTAACCAACTGAGCCACTCGGCCGGCCCTGGCTTTTACTTCTTGAGCCTCCTCTTATCTCTCCTGGCTCAGGCCAACACCTTCCTCTCTGTCTGTTCCATCCGGCCTCTGAGTCACACAGGTGCGCAGTCTCTCTCTGACTCTGAGATCCCAGATCGGGATGCTAGGTCCTGGAGTGTTCTCTGGATGGTTTTCCCTGATACTTAACCTTGTTTTTTGGACAGTGGCACAATGAGAGGGTGCCCCCTGGGACACAAATTACTGTTTCTGGTTCTCTTGGTCCTGACTCATGTCACATGGGGTTAGCCCGTGGTCCTTCAGCCCAGGGTTTGGTCTCTCCTGCAGACAGGTGGTGAGAAATGGGTGGTGGGCCCCCTTAAACCCTCAGACTTAGGCATAGGGGAAAACAGCTTGAGTTGTCTGGCTGACTCTGCCTGTGTGTTGCTCCTTTCCAGAATCTAGGTAACTGAGGTTTGACAGAGCCCATGTTAACTGTAGAAAGCATCAACATATAAGTAAGGCAAAAGCTGATACAGTATTTTGATCTATAGTGAAGACACCACCCATGGTTTATTCTTTAAAATATCTTTTAAAACCATGCCACATTTTGTTTTGTAAGCAGGCAGATGGCAGGGACTGTGTGATTCGCTAAACCAGCTAGAAACTTACAGATGTATTTTTCAATACGATGAAATTTACCTACCCACCCATCCACCCAGAAAAAGAGAGAGTGGAGAAGAAGCTTAAAAATCAATTCAACTCTCCACCTTTCAGTGAATGCCCCAAAGGTAAAACACTTTTGTAAACTGTTACCAGAGACCAGGGTTTGGGACACACCATTATTGAGACAAGTACATAAAATATGAGGGCAACTAAATAAAACTGAGGGGGAAGAAAATGATTCCCGTGATGCCACCTCTAGAATGAATAGCAAGGAAGGTGGAAGACCAGAGAAAGAAACCTAGTGAGCTAGAGGGAGGACAGATCTAATGGCTGTCCGCAGACCCCCTATGGCCCTGGATCTGTGGACTTTCTGCCACCTTTTGCGGTCTGCATGTGTTTTCAGTCTGAAATGCTGATGGATGATATTTATCATTTAGATAACAAAACGTGCATTTGTGAAACCTTTTGGTTTTTAAGAAAATGCTTTCAATGGTCTAGCTTTTGAGTAGAAGACAAAGAGCAGATAGGACTATATATCGAGGGTTTCCAGCTCATCCAGCAAGGAAAAAGGTTTTCAAGCTGCAAATGAAACATGAAGGCGTAGTACCATACCATATCTGCTTTCAATAGTTTCAGGCTCCAATGTGTAACACATTTTACCCCAGGATGCTGAGAACAATACCACAAGTTTGGAAATGGAACTTATTTTTGAGGTGTCAAAAATATTAAGAAATGAGCCAGAATCTTAGAGACAGGCAAATATTTTCTAGATTTTTGAAAAGAGGGGGAAAAAAAGATGGATTCTGGAAACCTCAGTTCAGTAAGCTTGACTCGGCTCAGCAAAATCATTTTAGTGTATAATTGAGTATTTTGTGAGCAAGAAAAAAGTAATCGCTAAGCCAGCACGTGTTCATTGAGAACAGATCATGTAAAACCAACTCCAATTTTCTTAAAAACAATTGACCAGTCAATTGGAGAAATGCTATGGGTAGTATAATATCTTGATAAGGGGAAACCATTTGACAGTGTGTTTCAGGATAGTTTTTTGGACAAAGAGAAATGTGAGCTGGATAAAATGTAATGCAAGGGTGGTGGTTAATGGAACACAGCTAACCTGTAGGGAGATCTTTTAGTAGTATTTACTTAAGTCATATCCTTCTCAAGAGTTATAGCCATGACTTGGACAAAGACAGAAGGCAAGTTTCTCAGAATTGAGGATGACTCAGAGCTGGGAAGCATAGCTAATACATTACATTCCAATACAATTAACAAATGATGAACATAAGTTGTTGCATTTGGGTCAAGAAGTGAATTGCATGAGTACATAGAAATGGTAATAGCTAATGTTTATTGAGTGCTTACCTAATGTGCCAGGCTCATTGCAAAGCGCCTTATGTGCATTCTCTCATTTAATACTCACGATGACCTTATGAGGTAGGTATTACCTTATGGATGAGCAAACCGAGGCTCCAAGATATTTAGTAACTTGTCCAACGTCACATAGTTTATACGTGGTAGAGCCAGGGTTTTAACCCAAGACTGTCTGGTTTTAAAGCCCAGATGTCATTGCTTTAACCAATAGCATCTTTCTTTATTTAGTGCTTATGATGGCTCACAGTGCTAAGCACTTTACATCCCATTTTATCATAAGTAGGCATTCTTATTCCCATTTAGTACAGATTAGGGGAGAATGGTCCATTTCTTGCCAAAAGATGTCTAAGTTTTAGTTGACAACAAGGCAGAGTGACCCAACAGAGCAAATGCAGCCCTGATCAGGGGAGGTAATGGTTTTATCAAAATCCACTGGCCAGACTGCAGTGGGGGTTCTGCGTGTAGTGTTAGGCATTACATCTCTTAAGAGAGATGCAGAGAGGAATGGAGAGTGGTGGAAATCCAGTCACAGAGGAAACATTGAAGACTTTTCCCTGAGAAGGAAAGACATGGGCAGGTGGTTCTGGAGCCCATTCTAGGGCCAACTCTCCTTAAAGAGTTGAATCTCAGCTTAGCACAGAAGCTCTAAAGCCGTAAGTAGCCCAGCTCTGATCCAGGGCGGGATGCAGCGGTGAAGAAGGTAGGGTGGGCTCCCGGGCAGGTCAGGGACAGAGGCCTCCCTGATCCCCAGAGTCAGTCTCTGGCCCTTGGCGTTGGAGCTGCAGGCCTCTTGGTCAGTTTCCCCCACCCCCTCCTTGTCACCTACCAGGCGGGGCTTCGCCTGCTGCTGCAGCTGCACCATCATCTCGTCATGCTGCCGTTGCCGCTCATTCTCCTCGTGCAGGTACCTGAGCCGTGAGAGCTCAAACTCCATGCGCACCTTCTCCAGCTCTATCTCGGCCTTACAGTCAGCCCCTTGGGTTCCCGGGGCCCAGGGCGGCACTGAGAGTTCAGGTCCATCACCCGCCTGGCCCTTGGTGGTGGGGCCGGCTTTGGAGGACAGTGATGTAGGTGGCCCTGGGCAGCCTCTGTCTTCACAAGTTTCCATCTCCTCCAGGTAGTCATAGGAAGAGTCTGGCTTAGGGGACTCTGCCTCCTGGAGCTGGGAAGGGGGAAGCTGAGGGATGGTGAGGGGTCAGTATGGGACTGCCCCCCACCCCTACTCCTACCCCACGGCACTCTGGTAGCCCCAAGCCACAGTGAACTGAGGTGTTTTAAAGAATGCTGTGAGTTGTAAAGATCTAGACTGAGTTCTTACTGGAAATGCACTAACATGGAGTTATTAGGACCTGAGAGTTAAGAAAAAGGAGAGGACAAACTGACACAAAGGAATGGTACCCCAAAGTTGCAAGAGGAGACACTGAGGAGATGAGGTAGAAAGCTATCTTTCTGGTGATTTTTAAATCACCATGGAGGTTGCTTCCCCACCCCCCACTCTACCTAACTTTGAGAAGAGTTAGAGACCCAGTCCTCTAGGAGCTGCAATGGGAAGAAGAAACCCAGGGTCTGTGTAGAGAGAACGTAAATATATAAGGACCAACAAAAGGGTTATGGAGGGAGTCTGGTCCCATCCACAGACAGAGGAAAATGGCCCCAAATGGGGAGGTAGATAGGAAAGACCAAAGCTATCTTCAAGTGACTTCACAATCTTATAAAAGGCTCCCTGGTTACAGCGGGGTGCCAGTTGTGCATGTCACCTGCTCTTAGCAGCTCTCTGGAATCTCATAGCACTTACCTACTGTCACATGTCCCCACAGTATTCTCCCTCCCCCTGCGGGGACAGACCGGGGCGGTGAGACGAGGCATCCCCCTTACCAAAGCAGCCCTCGACTTCCCTTCAGACATGGGGTCATCAGGCACCATCCTGGGGAAGTTCGGGCAGTTTTCTCCCGCCCCCCGAGCTTCCAGCACCGCCCTTTCCTCTGTTGCCATCCAGAAAACCACAATGCTGCCAACTGGGGCCAGAGGACATCTTTTGAGGCACTAACATTTGGCCTCACCAGATTCCACAGCCTGGCCATCATCACAATCCCCTGTCCTCATAATAACCCACATTCTACCAGTTGCTAGGGTCCCTTTGGCAGAGGGTGTGACACCTTTGAGGTGTTATTATTAAGAACTGCAGGATGGGCCTTTGCCACCCCTAGTGACTGCTTTGAAAACTAGAATTCCACCACTAGAAGTCCAGAATTCCATCACTTGAAATCTACTCCCTTGGGGTCCTCTTTTAAATGCAGACTGTATTTGGATGAGTCACAATTAGCTCCACACACAATGTCATTGGCTGACTTTAGAGATAGAACATGACCTTATTTAGAGATAGGGTCTTTACAGAGGTGATTCAGTTAAAATTAGGTCATTAGGGTAGTTTTTTTTTTAAAAGATTTTTATTGGGGAATTCGGGGGATGGGAACAGTGCTGGGGAATTAGGGGAAGGGGAACAGACAATTTGCTGTCGTTTTGTTCTTTAGTCTAGTTGTGGAGGATGTTGCTTCACTGGCCCAAGTTGGCACCATCATTGCGCTCTTCCTGGGTGAGGCAGACCAGTCGCCAGCTTCTGGA